AAAAAAATCAGAGGCTGGAGATGGCTCTGTTGGTAAAGAGCTTGTTTTACTAGCGTGAGGACCTGGGTTTGATCCGAAGCGTCCATGTAAAAATCCCAGGCATGTGTTTGTAATCTAAGCTCTGGGAAGGCAGAGACTGGAGGATCCCTGGAAGTCACTGGCTGGCTGGTGTAGCCAATTGGTGAGCTCCAGGAGCAAAGAGAGACCCTGTTTCAAACAAACAAAACAACGACAAACAGACAAAAGGTGTGGGGTGGTGAGAAGGCTCCACAGGTGTGGCAGTTTGAATGAAAACTGTCTCCCGCAGGCGCAGATACTTGACTGGTTCTCATTGGTGGCGCTGTTTGGGGAGGCTCTGGAATCTTCAGCAGGTGGAGCCTTGCTGCGAGAAGTATGACACTGGAGGCAGGCTTCAGAGTTTATAGTCTCACCCTTTTTCCAGTTGGCTCTCTGTTTCTCTCTCTCTCTCTCTCTCTCTCTCTCTCTCTCTCTCTCTCTCTCTCTCTCTCTCTCTCTGTGTTTGGAGATGTGATCTCTCAGCTTCCTGCTCTGGCTGCCTTTGGCCACACTGCTCCCATCTTTATGCACTCTCCTTTGCAACCTTAAGCCCAAATCAACTCCTTATTCTATAAGTCACATTTGGTCATGGTGTCTTACCATGGCAACAGGAAGAACGTGACTCCCACTGTGGGAGACACACAATATTGGTCTCAGGTCTACACACACACACACACACACACACACACACACACACACATGTACTTACCACACATGCAGACAAGAACATGCACACGCAAATATACACAAGCACATATTCTAACACTAAGAACAATTGGAAAACCAGTCACAGTTTTAGAGTGGAATAGGTTTTTAGTGGTAAGATAACGGAGAAGTATGCTAAGCAACTGTCTTAGTTAGGGTGTTTGTAGCTGTGACGAAACACCATGACCGAAAGCAACTTGGAGAAGGAAGGGTTTATTTCTGTGTACAGTTACACAACACCCCCATCACTGAGGGAAGCCAGGGCAGGAAACGGAGGCAGGAACTGATGAAGAGGCCACGGAGGAGTGCTGCTCACTGGCTTGCTCCTTGTGACCTGCTCAGCCTGCTGTTTTATTCACTCCCATGCACACCAGACCAAGGGTGGCCCTGTCTACAGTGAGCCGGGCCCTTCCCAACAATTATCAATCAAGAAGATGTACCACAGGCTGGCCCACAGGCCAATCTGGTGGGGGCATTTTCTCAGTTGAGTTACCCTCTCCCCAAATGACTTTAGCTTGGGTCAAGATGGCATTAAAGAGTAGCCACCATGACAAGAGACCATGGTCTTAACACAGAAATTTATACTCTTTTGGTTATTAATTTGCTAAAGACTGTCAAGCCACAGATATAGAAGAAAATCTGTGGAAAGCTGACATGTGTACTTAAATTGGAGTACTATATCACCACAGCTGAGCTATGGGGCAATAACTTAGTTTTAAATATTAAACGTAATGCTATGCCAATGTAATTACATGTGTGGCATTATCATAATGGGAGCTGATTAATGAGGGCGACAGAAAGCAAGGGCAGATATTAGCTCTTTAGACACGGGCGCTCAGATAGCTCCCTGAGAAGTCATTTTTCTCAAAGCTCTGTTCCCCAAGGATTGTAGAAATGCCAATTGTTTCTGCAGTTTCCACTTCAAGAATCTTTTATTCATAATCCCCAACAGACGACAATAAGACTTGAAATTAATGGTGATGACATTCTTGATCTAAATTACCGCCTTCACGCTTTAAATAATTGCTCACATTCCTCATGTAAGGGACTTACAGATTTTTCACGTCATTTCTTTCTTTCTTTCTTTCTCTTTCCCATTTTTATATCTTATCTGTCATCTCCACTGCTTGACTAGCTCCTTGTCCCTTACAACAGAACACAGGATGACGCCCCGACTCTATGAGTCTGTTTTGAGCTTGCTCTTCCCACTCGACTCCTAGGGCTCCTGAGATCTGCCTCTGATGAAGTCCTTCCTCAAAGGGCACCCGTGCCTCATGCATGCCAGGCAAGCACTACCACACCCCGCC